AAGCTACCAACTAAACTTTAAACATTCTTACTTTACGCCAGCAAAAAATTTCCCACATTGTGATTTTGTCAGTTTGAGGGATCAAATATCATCTATTTTAGAATAGAATTCCGAGAACGAAACATGATTCCAGAGATAAGGCAATGGATAAGGCATGAAGTCAAAGAGGATATCCACCGATGGGCTAACAACATCGTTCATCGGTTCAATCGAAGCTTATGGAGCTATATCCGTTTTCCGAATGTTATGTACTTTTTTTGGCTACGCGGCAAAATTGAAGGCGAGCCTCAACTGAACGATGTCTGTCGATAGGTTTACGCATGATCTGTTGGTTTAGCAAAGTTCATGGAGCGAGATCATTGTAATTAAGTAATGGGGCGCTTCAATTGCTGGTCCAGTACTTCCAGTTGCCCAGCGGCTCGATTGTTGAATCAATATCGAATGACCTCTATTGATAAAAAAACATTATTAACATAGGAATTTATTGATCAGGATCATCAACGATTCAAGAATCGACCCGCTGCTGTTTTCATGTGCTCGGCTCATCCGGCATCAGCGTCCGGCACCTGTGCGCTAATATTCGAGCTTGATTTGTCAATACGTGATGTCACGTACGCCAACAATGCTGGCAATTGGCAGCCACAGAAACGGAACAATGTGAGGTAAATACTCGTAAAGCAGATAGAAAAAAGGAAGAAGAAAAAAAAAACCCGAGGCCCTCTCTTCTTCATGGCGAGAGTTATTATCCCCTTCACCCAAAATGCCCCCCCCCCTCTGGCGTGGCGTGCTCTGCGATATATCGATTGATATGTCATTTACACCTAAGGATAATGAGAGTTAATCAGGGTGTTGGCAGCGGACACCTTAACAATCGATTCTATATCGTAGGTTTAAATGGCAGATCATTCGATATATATCGCAAAGCACGCTACGCGACGCCCCCTCCCCACCTCCGGCGCGACCAGGACAGGAAGTGGACCCCGGAATATGACAAATAATACGAGTTGATGTGTCGGCGACGAAAATACGGGAATGAGGATGAAACAATGCAGCTCTCTAGATTCTTTGTTGCGGTAGAACCCGCGGCTCACAATCAGCGCTAGACGATGTCTTGCATGGAAATGATTCTGATTTGCTCGTTACTTTTTTATGCAAATGGGTCGAAGAAAATAATGTTGTATTGTCCTTTGTCAGATGTCCACCTTAAACCTCTTCCTTCAACTTGCCCAGCTTCAAAAAAACCCCAAGTGTGTGGAAAATACCGAGGACTCCTGAAGCTTTGAAACATAATGAGTCATGAGTCCCCACTTCGACGGTGGTATTGCGAAAACGCAAATCTCTTTTTGCGACGCTGCAGACTTCTTGTCGTAATTTATTTGTTGTACAGAAAAATATTCAATATCATGTTTTGAAAACTTTTTTGATTTTTCCACTCTCTATAAAGAATCCTCCATGAAAATTTCTAGTCATGGTGTTGATTCGTTACTGTTTGATTAAATAAAATCGGAGCGGATACTTCGAAGCAACACTACGAGTTTCGCGTTTTGCAGTTTCACCTTCGATTTGTAAAAACAACTCATCTACTACGCATTTTGACTTGTTGCACTAAATGCACCTATTGTTTCTACTCACACTGTTCCATGTGAGGTGTAACATGTAGGAGCGGATTAATATGTTTTCCGCGTCAACTATACTTTGAAGTTGTTAATGACACGAGTTCTCGGACAAAGAGAAAAGAAAATTATTGGAATTAAGGTTATTTTTTTCCCCTCTTCCTATGTTTTATAGCGCATCCTTTGAAAGCAAGGATAGAAATCATGCAGAGGAAGGGAGCTCTAGGAACAGAATATTTCCGCATGGAAATTGTAGAGGAAGTTCCTTATCAAGGCGACATTGATTATCATGTTGGTGCGGAGCGGACCATGTTCTATCCATGAAACCGTATCGTATCACATCTTATCACATCACGGAAAAGAAAAAGTGGGAATTCCGGATTTTCCTGTTTTCCGTGATTTTTTTTTTTTTTTTTTTTTTTTTTTTTTTTTTTTAGAAAAATAGGAGGCTTTGCCTCCTGGCCGCTCCGCGGCCCAACTTCAGGGGTTGGGCTCTTTGGATGCTAGGTGGGGTAGCCCCGAGGGGTTTAAATCGTTTTATTCCGATTCCTTCGATTTTAAATTTCCCGCGATTTATCAAATAACGTTTCCTGACTGGTTAATTCGTCGACCAATTGGGAAGAAGATAGAGCCGTACATTAGCAAATCTATATTAAGCGTGACGCTATCCTTTCCTTTAGGTAAGTTTATCTGTGTCGGATGTGGTGGCCATTTTTCTGTCTCGTTTTTTTTACTACATTTTGCATTTAGGATCTTACAGCCCATCCGTAAAAACCCGTATGAGCCTAGGAAAACTAATGGTACATACACAGCGTTTCTAAACTGAGCCAGATATTGTAGTTTCTAATAGCAAAATGCACTCCATTTCAAAGACCTATGATTGTCGAGAAACGACGTGCCTTTCCACCAATTCGAACCAGGATTTTGTCACTTTACCCTTTCAAGGGGCTTCAAAAGATCATCAAATACCTAGAGCGGGTGAAACGTCCACGGTTCAGCCCCATAAGGCCTATCTCTGCATATATAATAATGCGCAATAATTAAATATCACTCTCAATAACCAGTCCCATGATCCCTGTATTGAAACTATTAGGTTTCCTCAGCTTTCGCCAAAATTTCTACCATGCGTTTAAGCCTCCGAGCCGTTGTCCCGAATCGATTATTCCTTTTAGTTTATTTTTTTTTACATTTTCATTTCAAACGGAACGATTGTATATCCAATACCACAATTGGCAACATGAGAGGAATATTAGTCAGATTGCAGGTCCAAAGCGTGATCGCTGGGAAAAAGGAAACAACTTTTCCGCTCGCAGTTAAAGGAATAGATGTCATGCCGCTCAGTGGAACGAGTCAATGAGAGAGTTTGGACACAATGCAGAATCCTTAAACGCTTATATCTTCTTTGATATAAGACAAAGAAGTTAGATAAATGTTTTCGTTGGTTTTCTCGTCAAATGTTCCTCGTGAATCATCCCTTTATCGATGAATAAACATTATAATTTGCAATTTTGGTCAAAATTTCACACGCTCGTTCCACCGTGTTCCGCCGCCTGTGCTCGGTCACGCTGGAGCTGGAATAATAAGGAGAGGCTGATCCGTTTGCCTTGAGTTTTCTCTCCAGGCAATCACGCGTTGAAGTCAGAGAAAACTACCGCGTTTTCACTCCTGTTTGCTGAACCAGAGAGAGAACAGACGAGTCGATCTCGGGCCCAAAAGTTTGAAACAAGCTGCTCGAGCAAATTGGCAACATTGTCTTTTCTCCATTTAAACCTATGAAAATGTATCGATACTTGGAGGGGTCAGGTTCTCCGACAAGGATCGATTATTTAGAATATGTTTAAATGGAGGAAATCCGGTGTTGCCAAATTGCTGGATCCGCCTCTGCTCGAGCGGTGTGATAATTCCTTCCTTAGATCTCAGCGGTGGATCCCCAATGAGCCAAAGCGGATCTATGATCGAAAAAGCGATCCCCGAGTCTTTTCTCTCACCCAATGGATCGTATCCAGTTGTTCGATGTATCATTTGGTTCAAAACAATAGAACATATAACGTCGAAGAAAAATCTTAGGATTTCAGTTGGAAAAGCTGAAAATGAGAAAAGTCCTAACAATTCGCTTTTTGTTGCCATTTTGTACTCATAAGAATCAAAAATCCTTCACAAAAAGCCGTTCCCTTAGATTACCTAATTGACTTTTGAGGCTATGTCTACATGTTGAACCAATCCATATCGATACAATCTCGCCTTTTTGACGTGTCAAATACGACCCACAGATCGGTGACGGATGACGATGAGCTATGGATAAGCAGGATTCGAGTACAGTGCTGAGCGTTTCAGTTATTTTCAATCTTACTATCAGAAAACTTGAACGAAGAAAGAGAAGCGTGTGGAAAAAATTAACAGCTGTAATGATTAGCCTTAATCTCTAAAGAAACCATGTTTTGCATTTGACTCCGCTCTCTCCAATCATGTCCGTGGCGCTTCAGAGAACGGTGCCGACGACCAATGCAGGGTGTCTAGCATCAGGATTTTCCCGATTCTATCAGGATTTTATCCCGATTTCATCAGGATTTCATTAAAAATCGCTCGTAAAATCAGGATTTCAGAAAAGTCGGCCGTCCGCTTATTTTTGTCAATTATCCGCTGCGTCCGTTAATTTTTCTCCGCAAAACATCATGATTTGGAAAAATTATGAAATCAAGATTTAGCAGTCAAAATTCAGGATGTAATCAGGATTCCCTAAAATGAAGAAAAACTAGACACCCTGAATAGGTAACAAAAGAAAATCCGACGTGGAACTCATCAACAGGAAAATTTTATGCCGTGTTGATTATGCAAAGGGCCAATCAGTTTTTCCTGCAGGAGGTTTTTTTTCCTTCTGCTTGATCTCATTTTTAGTCAAATCATTTCAACAATGGGAAATACAGATTGGAGATGCCCGTAGTTAGTCCTGTGATAAAGTCTATACGTTCCGTGCCATTGACGCTCAATATGATTTCATCGCATGGTATGGAACGCCTTCAAAATGATATGATACAACTCGCGAAACAACTGCCGCCAAGCACTATGCCATGCCATGCGGCTTCTTGGCCAAGTTTCTATTTAAATTACTCAACACTCGGTCGTCACTAACAGCCGTTGTTTTAATAGGAGCGAGTACTTTGCAGCATGAAAGTAACAAGCTGATATTTTTGTTGTTTAATTTATTTGTTCATCTTCTCTTCTTATGTATCACTGTGTGCCTAGTGTGGAGAAAAAAATCATGATCTGCAATAAAATTTAATTACGTTTTACTGTTTCACAAGTTTCAATATTTCATTTTTATGTTTTAACAAGTACTTTTTATGTGTGGGAAATCTAATACATTTTTGTTTTAATTTTGTGTTATAGTTCCTTGGAAGCACTGAGGTAGATCAACCCAAAGGTATAGAAGTTGTTAAGGAAGGCATTAGGAAGTTGAAATTTAATCAGCACTTGAAGAAGTCAGAAGGCTCATCAAAAATACCGAAAGTAGAACTTACCATAAGTGTAGATGGAGTTGCCATCCAGGAACCAAAAACGAAGGTGCGTATTACTAGTAATCTTGCTTAAAAACTGTGACGTGGGTTCTGAATCAGAGGGGTCATTCCCTAATTTTACACGTTTAAATTAGAGGTCTTTACAATCTACTGCTCC